TAGAAGGCCGTCCCTCGCGCAGATTATCGGTGAGATTAGTGCGACCACGCCTAAACTCATCAATCTAAACTAGTTGTTAACAGTGGCACGATATGGAGCTTCATCGTGAATGGCCAATCGAAGTCTATCATAACTTTCGATTTGACTTAAATGACATCGAAATTAATAAAAAAGCATTGTACGAAAATTTTCTCGCGTTAAATTCATGCTGACGTGACAGAGACAATATTCAAGTTACCACCAAATCGTAAACCAATGACAAATTAATAAAATACATACACAATAATATTGGCAAAGAGTTCCATTTTCAAAATTTGAGCTTTGTTTTTATTATATCGTTTACAAGTGGCCAGTTCTAAAAACTTTCAGTGTCGCCCATAGAATTATAACGCATAGAATACTATTACGCGCACCGAAAGTGAAGCAAGTAAAACTAACTCGAAACCGCGTTAGTTGACTCAGCGACGCGTCAGTGCGCAACGTCTAGTCTTACGGAGAAGAGCTCGCGAAAAATTGTAAAAATTACCGTTTTGTTGTAAAATATTGTCACAACGGTGATGATAAACATAAAAGAAGTAATGGTATTACATTTCACATATAAGTTTATACATTTAATTCATTATAAGTACGTAAAACTAAAAAAATACTTACCTAAGCTCTCATAATACAAATGTTGCTAGTTGTGGGGAAAAAATCACAATTTTCTTTTAAAAATATTTATTTTCTATTTGTGTTTAAAACGTTTAATCGCAACGCTCTGTGTAAAACTCAAATGTTTATATACAGATACCTACTTCTCTAAGTGTTAACATTATATTAACAATGGGTGTCTATTTAAAATTAATACGGAATGATCAGTTAATCGCGATTCGTCGACGCCATTTTAACGCGACTATTTTATTTTAATTTGATTTTTTAATGACTAAGGTTACGTTTTAGGGTATAGAATAAAAACTTTTTTATTTACAACATCATGAGATTATTAATAAGAACGCCTTTACTAACCAGATGTCACTTTCCACCCAAACATTAACCAGATGTTACGTTAGACCCAAACATAGCCTATTTTAACCGACTCCCAAAAAGAAAGGTTATCAATATGTATGTACACTGATTTCTAAGCTTGATCAATTCGTATAATACAAGCAATACATGCTGAAATTTTAGTGGTTGTTGTCTCGCAGCCAAATTATACTGTCTCGATAGTAGAGTCAATTTATTAAATTAAAAAATATTACAATTAAAAAAGGGCAGATTTACTATAGTAATACCTCACAAGCTATTCGGGCATCCAAACTAGTTTATGTCGTATCACTACGCTTGAGAATTCATGTTATGAACATTTATTAGTGGTCCTTCACTTTGTAGGAAGCGCGCGGTAGCACGGGCGATAGATGTAACACTACATTACGTCCAGCGAATTTTTTTCAGACTTTATTATAGTAATTCGGTATAAGCTAGCCTGTACGCCCGACGTACTTGTGAGATATTGCTTACTGGTTTGAGATCGCATTCGAGTATTGTTTTTCTCGATTGTAAATCTGCCACTTTTACATCTATTCTATTGTACTACTAAGGCAAAATCATTTTACTTCGGGAAAACAACCATTAAAATTTCAGCGTGTGTATTGGATCAATCTGTGTGTATATCCTTTCAAAAAAATCTAAATTGGTTTAGAAATTGTAGAATTAAAAAACATTAAAAAATACACCGAATTGATAACCTCCTCCCTTTTTGAAGTCGGTTAAAATTAAACATTACACGATGTGCTTATTGTATTCGAGCAAATTAATTGTGTTTAATAATATTCTTGAATTTTATTACGTATGCATTTTTTAGCATTAATATATGTATAATAAAGTTATATTAGTAACATCATTATTGTGTTTATTTTATTCCATTTTATATTCTCATAAAATACTTCTACTAAATAATCTTCGTACATAATACGTAATCTTTATTATATCGATTTTTTTAAATTAACCAAAAAATAGTGATTTGCACAATTTGATTGCAAACGCCAGAAACTGGTATCACTGAATGGCGTGTATGTGTGCGTGTGACGAGCGTAGGCACATTCGACTCGCGCCCACTAACATAATGACTTTGCATCATTTTAACGCTTGTGTTTTGTACTGGACTGCGTTTCTATGCGTAATAATTCTATGGTGTCGCCCTTGTATGTCGTGTCAAAGCATGTTTAGTAGGATAGATATTGGGCAGACCCTTGGAACGAAAGAAAAGGGGCCTCGCTGATGCAACTTCACCCACGTTTATATTAGTCCACGCTACGCCTCTGATTGTAAGCTGTTATTTAAAAAAAGTCCCGCTGGGTTTCTTGCTGGTTCTTCCAAGGACAAAGGTTTTTGTTTTCAAACCAGTAGTAATTAAACAAAAGAGTGACTATCAATAAGTATTATTTACAATCTTTATTGAATAAAAAAGTTTTTGTTTCTGTATAATTATGAATAATACACGAGTCACGAACTCATCCGAACGACGCACGATAATCCACGAACACTGAGTTTCGACGCCGCCGAAGGTTCGGCAAATTTTCGCCGAAATCGAAACTGTTACCGAAACTAGATTTTTTTTTGCCGAAACCGAAACCGAATCTTCGGTCGGTCACTTATTTATTATTACCTTTTTGGATAGCTTATTAAATGGCCATATTTTTTAAATATTTTTACGTCTTCAAAGTGAAAAAATAGATTTTTTTTTTATTAAAACCCATCATTTATACTGTGAATACTGTTTGTGCTTTTTATGATTGTATTCGCTTGGTTGAAGGGTCAAGAAAATAAATAAACTTAAAAGAAAGTGTAGGGGACTGCATTAGAGGAGGAACGATGCGGGGACAGAGTCCGACGCCGCATCGAACAGCGAGGGAGGCTCAGAGAGCTCCCGACAAGTGGAGCCTGGGACCGCGGAGACCAGCAAGTTCTTCCGCAAGCGGTCCAGGCGGGATGGCGACCAGGGGTCGGCATCCGGTGAAGAGGAGGTTTCGGCCCGGAAAACCCCACCAACAGGCGGGGCGGGCTGAGAGGCAAGGGGACCAATCAGAGGGCCGAAAGAGCGGCAAAGCTTGCCGAGGAGGGGCGCCACCCGGACGATACGGCTCGGGAATCAGGCGAAGAAACAGATGCGACTGGCGGCTCCGAGGTGGAGCGTAAGGCCAGATTCGTAAAGGAGGTGGAGGCCGCGATCAAGGTCGTGGCCAACAAGCAAAAGTCCTCCTCGAAAGTCAAGGCCATTCCCGCGGCCTCCGCCTCCATTATGGCGGCTGCGGAGGCCAACTTTGCTGGGGCTGGGCCTAATGCGGACGAGGTGGAGAAGCTGCGGGCGGACGTGGCCCGCCTGACGTCCGCCATGGAGACTCTCCAGAAGGAGAATGAGAAGCTCCGCGCAGACCTGGCCAGTCTACATGAGCCTGCCCCTCGCGCGGCGCCCCAGACGCAGCGCCCAAGCCAGCCCGTGCCGGTGGAGAACCAAGTTTTGAACCCGGTCCGGCAGGAGCTGGCTGCCTTCCAGCACCGGTTCTCCGTGCTGGAGGGCATCGTCCTGCGCCCCCCCCCTAGGGGCAAACAAGACGGCGGCGAGGCCGGCAACGGTTTCCTACGCGACGGCCACGGCTGCCACATCCAGGCCGGGGCCGTCCAGCCAGCCCTCGGGTGGGGCTGCAGTTGCCCCTCCCCCCCCCCGTAAAGCCGGCTCCGGCAAAACCGATACCGGCTGAACCGGCTCCGGCTAAGCCGGCGACGGGAAAGAGAGGCAAGGCGAAGGCGAAAAAGGGCAAGGCGGCAGCACAGGTGATGGCTGCGCCAGCCCCAGTGCCTGCGGCGAATGGGCCAGCGCCAGCGGCAAGCCAGCTGCCGCCGCCGCCACCGCCCCCCCAGCTCCCTACACCTCCCGCGGCAGAAGCCGGTTGGCAGGTGGTCGGGGAGAAACAGAAGGGGAAGAAGGCAGCCAAAAAGGCCAAAGAGCAGGAGCGGCAGCGTCAGTTCAGGGCGCGCAAGCTCGCGGCTAGCCTCCGCGCCCCGAAGACCGCAGCTGTAGTGATTACACTACAGCCGGACGCGGAAAAGAAGGGCGTTACCTACCGCGATCTGCTCGCGAAGGCGAAAGAGGCGGTGGATCTCGGGGAGCTCGGGATCACTGGGGGCCTCCGGCTCAAAGTCACCCAGACGGGGGCCCGTATGCTGGAGATCCCCGGGGAATCCAGTGGCGCAACTGCGGACGCTCTGGCTGCGAAGCTCAGAGCGTCCCTGAACGCGGACGAGGCCCGAGTGTCCAGGCCCGTCAGATGCGCAGACCTGCGCATCATGGGTCTGGACGACTCGGTATCGGAGGAGGAGTTGGTGGCCGCCGTCGCCAGGTCCGGGGGGTGCACTACTGACCAGGTCAGGGCAGGCGCCATACGCCCGGATCAACAGGGTATGCATGCCGCCACGGTGTGCTGCCCTGTTACGGCGGCCAAAACCATAGTGGAGGACCGAAGGCTTCTGGTGGGCTGGGTCTCAGCGCAGGTTAAGCTGCTGGAGCCCAGACCTCTGAGGTGCTACCGCTGTCTCGTGGGGCATCACGTATCAGTGAAATGCGCCTCGGAGGTTGACCGCAGTGGCCTCTGCTTCCGCTGCTGTCAGCCCGGACACATATCGGCGACCTGCTGCGCCACGCCGCACTGTGATGCATGTGCGGCGACCGGTAAGCCAGCCGATCACTGGGCCGGAAGCAGGGCCTGCGTGTCAGCCGCCAAGGCCAAGGCCGCGGGTAGGGGAGGGCCCTCCTCCGCTGCCACCGCCTCTATGGCCACCGCCGCAGCTGCAACTGCCGCCGCCGCCGCTGTCACTGTCGCCGCCGCCGCCGCCGCGACACCGACGCCTGCAGAGGGGCGCCCCGTGGAGGAAGCTGAAATGGAATGCCTATAACGGCCCCATTAAGCTTCCTCCAGGCGAATATCAACCACTGCGCCTGCGCTCAGGATCTGTTGCTCCAGAGCATGGCGCAGTGGTCGATTAACATCGCTGTGGTCGCTGAGCCGTATTTTGTCTGGCCTAAGAAGGACTGGGTGGCGGACCTTAACGGCTCAGTGGCCATCATCCCTTCGGCCGCCGCCGGTACCCCGACCCTTGAAGGTGTCAGGAGGGGTCAGGGGTGCGTAGCAGCACGGTTCGGGGAGTTCGTCGTTGTGGGGGTGTACTTCTCCCCGAACCGATCTCTCGCCGAGCTCCACAACTCTCTTGCAGAGCTGAGAGCAGTCGTCGTCGGAAGCTATCCCCTCCCCGTGCTTGTCCTCGGGGACTTCAATGCCAAGAACTTGGCTTGGGGTTCTCGTCGTACAGATGTGCGGGGTAGGATGGTGGAAGACTGGGCTCTGGAGACGGGCCTGGTCGTCCTAAATCGGGGTTCTGTCCCCACGTGTGTGCGGATGCGGGGCGAGTCGGTGGTGGAGCGAGTCGTTCGCTAGCCCCGCTCTGTCGCCGCGTGCCACTGACTGGCGAGTCATGGAGGGGGTGGAGACCTACTCCGACCACCGGTACATCCGGTTTGACGTCTCCACCCAGCCCTCGAGCGCGCCAGTCCAACAGGCCCCGAGTGGTCCGCTTTGGGCGCTGAAGCAGCTGGACCGGGAGCTCCTCCTGGAAGCCTCGATCGTGCAGGCCTGGGTGTCATCACCGGATAGGCCTGTCGACATCAATGATGAGGCAGGGTGGTTCCAGGAGGCCATGTCCGAGATATGTGACGTGGCAATGCCCCGCGTCCGGCCAGGAAGCGCCCGGCGCCAGGTGTATTGGTGGTCGCGTGAGCTGACGTCTCTGCGCGAGGCGTGTGTCGCCGCGCGGCACCTGTACGCCAGGCATCGCAGGCTCCGCATTCGTCCACCGAATGCGGCAGCCATTGAGGCGGAGCTGTACGAGGGATACAGAGCGGCGAAGACCGCCCTCCGGGAGGCTGTCATGCGGGCCCGGGATCGGGCCCGTGAGGAGATGCTGGAGACTCTCGACAGAGATCCGTGGGGGCGCCCTTACAAGATGGTGCGGGATAAACTCCGCACCTGGGCCCCCCCGCTGACGCAGAGTCTCCGGCCTCAGCTCGTGGAGGACGTGGTGAGCGCTCTGTTTCCTGCGCGAGGGGAACATCCGCCCCCGCCTATGGCTCCGCCACCTGCGGTGCCGGAAGCGGACCACCAGGACGACGACGACGACATCCCGGAAGGGACCGGGGTAGACCTGAGAGTGGCGGTACGTAGGCTCAAGGCCAGGAATACCGCCCCAGGACCCGATGGCTTGCCTGGCAAAGCCTGGGTCCTGGCCTTGGAGGCTCTCGGGCCCCGACTGGAGGGGCTCCTAAGCGCATGCTTGGAGAGAGGCCAATTCCCGCTTCGTTGGAAGACGGGGAAGCTGGTCCTCATTCGAAAGCCGGGGCGCCCTGCGGACTCTCCGTCCGCATACCGGCCCGTGGTGCTGCTCGACGAGGTGGGCAAGCTCTTTGAAAGAGTCATTGCAAACCGCCTCGCCGAGCACCTTGCGGGGACGGGGCCGGATCTTGCGGAACACCAGTTTGGTTTCCGCAAGAGGCGCTCTACGGTGGACGCCATCATGCGCGTAAGAGCCCTCACGACGGGGGATGCAGTGGCCAGGGGGGGGGTTGTTTTGGCGGTGTCTCTCGACATCGCCAACGCCTTCAACTCCATGCCCTGGAGCTGCATTAGGGAGGCACTCCGGTATCACCGGGTGCCGACCTATCTCCGTCGTATAGTCGGGGACTATCTGACGGATAGGGCCGTCATCTACCCCGGTCGCAACGGTGAGTGGAACCGGCGAGAGATGTCGTGCGGTGTCCCACAAGGTTCGGTTCTGGGGCCGCCCCTGTGGAACATCGGTTACGACTGGGTGCTGCGCGCCGACCTCCCTACCGGCGTCAGCGTAGTTTGCTACGCTGACGCCGGTACTCTAACTCTAACTCTAAGAAGTCCGCCTTCTGGTGCACTTCGGTAACCTGCTTCGCTGTGTTCACTGCCTCCTCTACCGTCGCATAACTGTCTAAATAATCATCTATATAATGACTTCGTACGATAGCGTTAAGCGCCAGGGGATGTGTTTCTGCGTCTGCGCGCGCGTTGAAATCCCTAACGCTATGTGTGAGAAACGGGGAACTTCTCGCGCCGAATATCATTGAGATCATGAAGTACTCTCGCGGCGGACTAGATCGTTCGTTTCCTCGCCACAGAAAAAGTTGCGCGGGTTGGTCGCGACTGTCCATTTTCACACGTAGAAACACCTCTCGGATATCCGCAGACACGGCTATCTCGTTTTCCCTAAACCTAAACAGTATGCCCGGTAGGTTCCGCAACAAGTCGGGGCCGTCGAGCAGGTAGTCATTAAGACATCTACCTGTTGCGCGAGCTGCTGCGTCGAACACTACTCTCGTCTTCCCTGGCTTGTTCGGGTTCTTCACTGCGAAGTGTGGCAGGTACCAGCTTTTGGAGTCTTCTCTTTCCGTTCCCTCGGCTTCCCTCGCGTAGCCTTTCTCTAGGAGGTTATCTATCTGGGCTGTATAGGCGTCCCGAAACTCCGGCGACGGGTCCATCTTCCGTTCAATTGGCCGAAGTCTTCGAGCTGCCATCTCGAAACTGGGTGGCATCCGCACGTTTTCGTCCCTCCATGGCAGTTCGACTTGGTATTGCTCGCCGACCTTCTTGACGGTGCGCTGGAATATGTCGACAGCGCTCTCCTCTTCCCTTTGCGGCCTACTCTTCAGCAAATTGCCTATGGAATCTATCTCGTACTGCCTTTTAAGGAGGTCCGTTAGCTCCTCATCCTGACTGACGAACGTTTGGATGTCCCTATCTGGCCGTTCGCTGGTGCTCGACAGGTGTAAAACCGTTTCGCTGTCTTGCCTACACGTCACACTCGGCGCGGTCCCTTGAATCACCCACCCTAATAACGTCCTAGCAGCTATGGGCTGCCTCCGGTGCCCTATCCTTAAATTACGGGTGATTATCAAATGCCAGTTGTCGGTTCCTAATAACACTCTCGGCTTCGCGTCGTCATAACACACCTCACTCGGTAAGTCGCGTAAGTGCTTCAACCGCAAGCACTCCTTACCGACCGACTGTGAGCCTATCTTTAAATTAGCGATCGTTCGTGCGCTTACATTATAGATTTCATTTCGCGTTTTGCCACGTATCCCTATGTTCACCAACCTACTATTGGCCTCGCGTTGATTATTAGTTACTCCTCTAATATTGAGCGGCTTCGTCAGTCCTTCGGCGCCTAACTCGCGAGCTAGTTCGTCGTCGATCAACGATATGGTGGACCCTTCGTCGAGTAGCGCATATGTATCTTTCTCCTTACCGCGCGGTTCGCTTTGCGTTAGGAGGCGTGCAATAGAAAATTATTTTAATTTTCAAATTAATACATAGTATAATATTTAGCTATAATGTCATATTTTGTAACTGTAACTAAAATTTTCATGCATTGTAATTTAAAAAGAAATGTATATACGGTTTTAATTTTTTTATCGATAGCTAATCGATAATTTCTGCTTGGCTTTTTGTTTTTTTTTTTTTTTTAGAATAAGGGTGACAAACGAGCACACAGTCCACCTGATGGTAAGTGGTTGCTGCGGCCCATAGACATCTACATCTATCCTCTATTACAAATCAAAATGTAGATGCGTTGTCACCCGTGAGGACTAAGATGGAATGCCTCATTTCCAGTAAAAAGGGCCTCCGGCCACCTGCACTTACCAAGCGAAACGCAGAGGTAAATCTCTACTTCACGCTGGTTTTCTGTGAGGTCGTGGTACTACCCCGGTTCGAGCCGGCCCATCCGTGCGACAGCAAAAGCTGCCGCGTGGCTCTACCACTGTTAAATTTGTGTCGTTAATCGCCTTTTTTTAAATCAATTTAACATTGTAACATCTCTGGACACGCTCATCTTAAGAATATAGTTAATTTATAAATAATATCAAGAAAATAATGAAGTAAATTATTTTATTAATATTTACAATGGTGATGTAAGTAGACGCATAATAATTTTATCAATTTTAGGCCATTGTCCTTTATGGATTATGAGTGCAGGGTCGCTTCTCTAGTGGTTTTCTGGTGGTTTTAGAAGTTGAATCTTGTGGAAAGCTAGTTTAACTGTTGGCAACACTAGAACTGATTATATCGCTATATTAACTCTTTGGCATAATCTATGCTTTACTATAATCGCGTAGTGTTTCTATATAGTTTGTGAATACATGTAATATATATAGATGGCGTATTGGCAGCAGGGGCGTAGCTACCGTCGCACCGTATCAGCCGTATCAATGATACGAGGCCCCCGGGCTACAGGGGCTCCGAACGTGTGTAAGCAAAAATTCCAAGGCCTTCTATGGGACAGGAAAGGCTATCACTACGAGTATTGTATATACTGAAAATTTCGGGAATCAAGGAAGTGACACAACATTACCATTTAAAATTGTATTTATTGCTTTTCGAAGTATTCTCCGCGAAAGGTCAATGGCAGAAAAATAGTTGACAAAAATTAATGCGTCTAGAAATAAGTTATATATAAGACGAGTTTTATTATTTTCTATGATTTTTCAAATAAAAATGTATTTAAATTAAAGCCACAGGAAAAAACAAACATTTATAGGACTAACAAATTAAATCCTTTTACTCTATTCAAGTGTTGCCATTTACTATATTCATACTATTTTCGTATACACTGTAAGACTACAAACACAACACACAAACACAAAATATTTTTATATTAAGTTATTATTAGTAAGAACTATACTATGTATCAGTAATAATAATAATAAAACTGATATAGTTGAAAATAAGGCTTTTACAAAGAACTTCCTACAATAATATATTATCTCAATCATAGTAATATGTAACAATTCCATTTAATGTTATGGCAACACTAGCTAAAACAAAATGTCACTGTTTTTTTTACTTGCTTTACAGTTCTGGGTTCTAGCCCTTCTGGGAGTGTCACTGTATGACACAAAGGCCCTGGAGCCATGCCAGAAATATACATTTATAGTATGCAAATCAGGGGCGTAGCTACCGCCGTATCAGCCGTATCAATGATACGGGGCCCCCAGGCTATAGGGGCCCCAAACGTGTGTGAGCAAAAATTCCAAGGACTTCTATGGGTCAGGAAAGGCTATCACTATTGTCTATAGAAGTAAAGAATTTAGTAAAACTGAAATCGTCTTCAGCTATGAATGCAGCCGAATCTTCTTCAGCTGTGTTCGCCGAACAAAAGGCACGAAAAGTGTATATTTAATTTTAAATTGTTTGGCTAGCTTAGTTCCTAGGAGTATTAATTGTAAGTAATAACTCAAAAACCCGTGTAGTGGCACGGGTGGCAGTGGAGAAAACTGACTACCATATATCTTCCCGTGGGTGTCGTAAAAGGCGACAGAGGATGGGCAGCACCATCTTTCTGATAACAGCAAAACAAC